TATATTTTGCCCATGGTGAAAATTGTGTATCACCCTGGGAGAAAATTATAGAAGAAGAAAAAACAAAAACGAAAATCACACAGACCTACCTGACCATGAATGTCTCCACAAACTGTAACCGGAGTAGCGACTGGCTGAACATTTGATTCTTCAAGCAGTAAATCACAAACATAATCACATAATCTCTACAAGAGGAAAAACACAACACGGTTAGTGGACACAGGCACCTGGAAACACACTATATTAAAGGCAGCGTGTGTATCACACAGCCCATTAAATTCTATTCTTACAGATGGACTGTAAAATGGGAAATGGGTTGGGATTTACATTCTGTGCTGCATCTTGTGCAACAATACTTTTACATGCAGACTGAAGGATCTTCCACTATCTCCCAAACCACAGCACTAGAAACGCTAGAACTCTTTAAAGGCGATTTGTAGGCATGATCTGTGACAAGGTAGGCACTCAGCTGAGTGCTATGTTTCTGCAGTCATGTGACTTTCACAGTTCATATTTCTGTTGTAAACTTGTAAGTAGTTTAGCTGCTAGTTACAGTTAATTAAACTAGCTGTAGTCCAGATCTCTCCCTATGTCAGATCGGGCACTAATAGGGGCCATCTATTTCCAAGTACGAAGTAATTAATGTCCTACTGAATATTAACTTGTTTTTAAGTGAAACATTTTCACAGCAGTGTGACTAAAGGACTAAAATGGGATGTAAAGAATACAGTTAGGAAGTACTTTGATCTCAGTTCATTCTGAGACATTTACAAAGTCAAAATGACTCCTTTTTCAGAAAGTTTCATTTTTCTTTACAACGCACTCAGTCTGATATTTAGCTCTGCTCTGATCGCCGTTTCAAGCAAAGCCTCAGAGCAGAGGGATGAATAGACGTATAGATGTTGTTTTCCTTATGCTATTTACACCCCCAGTGCACAATTCATCGGAATATTTCGGCTACCATGATATCTTTCCACAGTTAAACCTATATCTTATATTTAAAGTTAATACGGCTTATGGTAACGGCAGACACTAACACAACAGTGGTTCCCATTACCATGTTTTAAGTGGCACCTTCCTCACTATTCACACCGACGTGTTTAACAGAGTCACCATGCGTTATAATTCTGTGAGATTCATTTTTAAAAGCTGAAACAAACAACAGAGTATTACTTGAGCGTGAAACCCAGTTAAAACTACCGGCCACATTTGTTGAACAAACCTCGTCTAGTCGCACCATGACCTTTTACGAATACTAACAGAGCTTATCTGAAGTTAAATCCAGAAACTTTGACTCACCTTTAGATCGTTTTCAGGCAGATATTTGCACTGTCTCGCTATTTCTACGTACTTATCGAGGTCTAAAGGCGCCATTATCGAAACGCTAAAAGCAGCTAAACTGCAGTTAGCTTCCTTTTCTTCTTCCTGTTCGCTCGCCGCTCCTTCATTTTCAACGTCAATTTCCTGCATCAAATCAACCTACTACATCCTGCCCACATTTTCAAAATAAAAGTATTTACTAATGACACAGGGGCTAGTAATGAACAGCAACTAAATTAAACTTAGAAATGTCAAGAAAGAAAAATATATAATCTACCATAAGTGCTTATTTAAGTAAATTTCCGGCTAATAACAGCGAATGTTATAATACCTTTATGTCGAACGTCGCATTGAAAGGAAATAACTGAAGCCAACTTGACTCTCGTCAGTGGGCTTTATTGTGCAACTAAACCAAACATCGCCCCCTGTTGGTACGAGCACTGTGTCATCCATTTGTTTACATACAGTATTATGGAAGCCACACATTGCGTGGGGCAAGAAAAGCAGTCACGTTACATAACATACTTTACTAACATTAAATAAATAATAACTTGACCCATAAAATAAATCAATGACTTTATTTAAAATGTTTTATCTCCTGCCTACGACCTCTCCAAACACTTGCTGGTGTCCTTTTACTGTGGTTCAGTAGAAAGCATATTTAGTGCAGCATATACCAGGTGCATGCCAGCTGCACTGAGGGTGACATTACGGCTTCTGCGAGAGCTATCGTGTCAGCATACAGAACCACCAAGACTCAGCTACCAGCACAGAAGCCGAAACTTCAAACATCAACGGCGCTACACATCAGTAAAGGCCCCTGCAGAAGTCATTAAAGTGTCTCATAAGGCTGTGCACTGCCATCACTCAGAACATCCTGTGCAATATCACAAAGGAATGTGAAATGGATGTCCGTGTGTCTCTTGTAATTCATAATCGTCGGTATTTTGTCTGTATTTGAATTTATATTTTCTATTTAATTTATATATAATATAAAAGCACTTACTTGATTATTATTATTATTTTTTTTTTTAAATGTATTCAACTCAGGGAAATGCCTGACATTTTGCTGTACACCTGTAACATTACAACTAAAGTTATTCTATTCTATAGCTAAAAATAAAGGTTGATATTTCATGTTAATCACATTCACACTTGGAGCCACGTGAAATCATTAAAATGTGAGCAGGGCTTCTGGAAGACTCGTTTAGCCTGAATACATCAGAGGAGAAAACACAAAGATAACGTGCACTTAAACATAAACTAATAAACTGTAACCTTCTTACACCCAATTTCAGAGAAGTTAAAATGTATGATATACCAGCCACCAGAAAAGACAAAATAGCTACATCACCAACACCTGGGCAAACTGGAACAATTATCACCGGACTCTCCCAAGTTCATCCTAGGCGAGTTCAACCACTGTTCCCCTGACATAATACAGACTTTATGATGTTCGGCTAATATATTTTCTTGTTAATATTAATCATGAGGGTAAACGGCCCTGTACACCACGGAGCGAGGTCAGCATCTCCACGATATCTTCAGCTCTCTGAGTTAACCCAGAGTTCCACAGCTGAAAAAGTCGGCAGCATCAAAC